TGACAGATGGGCATTGGAGAAGAGTCTGCAGAGATGAGAGACACCAAATTGAGGTATAAAGATAAAGGAGGAGGGAGGCAAGTGTGGGAGGAAGGAAGAGACAACCATCTCCGTTAGTGTCATTAAAACTACCCCAACACTGAGGCTGCAGGACAAACAGAGGAGAGATTGAAATAACGTGGAGAGACAGCAGTCTGCTGAATGACGTCCTGAGGGTCATTACAAAGTGTATCGCTCTATTTTTACCTGCATGAAAGGTTTTAATATACCTTCAACGTGCTGCTAATGACTTTCTTGGCTCGTTTGTTCCACGTGAAGGCTTCAAACCCCAAAAGATCAGTGTCTTAATGTAAAAAACTCACAATATGTTTTATTTATTTCATTAACGTAACGGTATTTCTTGTAATAATTTGAAATTCTGCATCATGACATTTTTGTTTTATATAAAATATTGCTCCGGTCTGTTGAGAGGCAATGTCTTTGGTAGTGAATTTGGCCTGAAATCAGAGATTATGGTTTCATAATGTGAAAGTAAAAGTCACGTGTAACTCAAAGAACATAACAAAACAAAGATTATTTAAGACCACATTAAGTGACCTCTGTTGGTGATGCTTAGCTTACCACTCCCCTTGGATTCTCTTTTTCACTTTGTCCACCTGTGAAGCCAATTCACAATATGGACCTCATGTTCTGTAGAAGACGGCGTTGAACTCGCAGCATCATCTGTGAATGAATTACAGACTTGATCATTCCAAGTCTTCCTCAATTAATTAGACGGTTGGTTCAGAAGCTAACTGAACATTTCTGGCTGACTTAAACACCTTTACCTTTACAGCAACATACAGTGACTTTGTCCAGTTCACTGTTTCCCAAAGTGGGAGCACAGCAAAGCAAATTAATTTAAAAGTTTAATAAAAATTATCTTTTATGTGTGGCCCGCTGGGAAAATAAACATTTGTAATTTGATTTATTTGTTAGATTCAATACAAAAAGTCTTTTAATGCTAGATACTTTCGGTTAATGCCATAAACTGTGGAAATGATTATTGTCAGAAGAATATTGTCCTACAACAAACTATAGTGTTCATATTTTTCTATTGGCTGTTAAAGTGTGATTTCCCATGGTCTTGATTAAAAATGTTTATTAAGTGTGTTTCTCTGCAGGATTTGCTTTTCTTGAAATCTTAGCAAGACACAGGCCTCTGTCGTTGCAAAGTGATTGGTTTAGAGAAAGGCCTGCTCTGTCTTAAGAGCAGCTCAATAAAGAGACTGGTCAATATGGCTGCACTCAGATGGTGAGTCAGTGAGGAGAGCTTCGAGCCAAGCCAAGCGTAGAATAGAGGGGAACAGGGGGGTCTTTGTGTGGAGAGCAGACTAACTCTGCCTTCTTTATTGGCCTTTCTGGAATATTACAACCAGCCCTGGCCTCCTTTTCATGGTTTGTTTCAATATTTTTCTTGTTTTGTAGAAACTGAGTAGACACAAAATTTGACGGTTTTATTTTTTATTGCTATAGGGTCAAAGCTCTGGAAACTGAATTGAAGGTACTGTCAGAACACTGAATACAGTCAAAGTACAATCGAAGTTATAATTGCAGAGAGAACTTGACTCGATACCGGTATCTGATGTGATAATGGAATAACACGTATAAAAGCCAGACTTTTGATTGGATTTTTTTTTCTTATAAACTCTGGTAATGGCAGTGCAGGCAGCTTATCAGACCATTGTGTCATGTACAGTGCTTTCTACTGATGGTTTGTGCAGAGGAAACAAGTGAACGTGGCATAAAGACGAGGCTTCAGTACTACCTGGATTTCCCTAAAAGGCTAATTGAGAGTCTGTCAGATCCAATTCAGGAGTTGAAACCTTTGGCTGCATTGGTCCTGAAGCTGATATTGATCCGAGTCACAGAGGTGAATATATTGGCTCTTCAGGATAAGAATGCAATCCTGCAAGTGGTTTGCATACTTTATACGTCCAGCTTGGCCATATCCAATATTTTTAGTAGGAGATTTTAACAAAATGTCCGAAAACCTGCCCTTCACCTTACAGCCTGTAAGATCATCAACATCACTTTAGGTACTGTCCTAAAATAGCAAGAACCCAGCACTTTATAGTGTCCCTCGTTTGAGTGCAACTGGGAGGAATACAGAAAGGCACTACATCAAGACGGCACCTTAAACCCTTTATGACTGCTGAGCAAAGTAGATCTGGGACAGTTGTTAACAGGCCTTACTTATCATCCAGAAAACTTTTTGTAGCCTCTGGTCTCTGCTCCCCCGTTCACACTGGCTGTCTGCAACGGGGGATCGTAGCCTCAAAGACAAATGGCGGCCCTCAGTGCTGGGCTTGAATGGATCTAGCTCCCCTCACTATAATGTGGTTTCTGACACCTTTGTGTGTCTCCAACTCAGCAGCTGTATTGTTGAAGGGCTCCACTGTCTCAGCTGTAATTAATCCTACTGTTGGGATCTGTGAGGTTGGTGTGTCCAACATCGAAGAGCGTTTAAGTCTGCATTCTTTTTGTTATTTCACACAACATCGTGCAAATGGAAACCTTCTCCCTTCTAGTCTAATCCTCTTCAATCGGCTAAATCCATGTTTCTCTGAGTGAATAAATATATTTTCAACCAAGCCTTCTTAGTTCAAAACAAATTTTCCTTCTTAAGGATTTAAGAGTTTGAACCTTGTCCACATGTAACTTTTTCTTTTCAAATTCATAGTTTTTACCTAATTTGGAGGAAAAAAAATTCAGGCTGAATTCATGTTTCAGTGTCTTGTCTGTTACGTTTTGTCTTTTCAAACCCATCTAAGCCTATTACTATTAAACCAAAGCGATAGAGATTAACTGTTTTTTATTTATTTATTTAATATATTTTCAAAGGACCTTCTTGTTCGCTTTGGAAAATGTAGAACATATAGGATGCAGGTGGGATATGAAGTGAACAGAACAGCGTCTCACCCTTCTGTCTGCTCCGTGAATCTTTTGTTCCATCTTTATCTACTGTCTGTCTGGGAGTGCAGTGGATTTGGTACAGGAATCTAATCCCGTCCCCACTGTTCCTTCTATTCTATAAAAAGCTGCTACAGGCGATAGATCTGTTGCTTTAAGACATTTAATCCCATTCATTTTTTTATTTTCTCTCTAGTGGACATGGGCTGACCATGGTCTCTGAACTGGAGACACACCAGGTTTGGGCAAAGAAGCTCCGCCCAGTTTTCACAACCAACTGTTTCAGCAGCATAGAGCAGAGCTGATTAAACATGCTGTGCTGCCTCTGGCCTGCAGGGGAGACAGAGGCCCCCCTCCACCCCACCCACTGCTAGTCCACTTTGGTCTCTGTCCATCTGTCATATACAGGACTTCATCACTAAAACCACTATTGTGCGGTTTTTGCATTCTGACCACTGCAGCACGAAGCCGCTAAGCTAAGCAGGCTCGTGGTTTTGTACCGTTATAATCCTTTTATATGTTCTATCAATTGGACTGAACTGAATTCAGATTCATCTTAATGTAATTTAATCAAATTCAATTCAATTTAATTTAATTACAATTAACTAAGACTATTAAAATTGTATGGAGCATATAGAGTGGCAGCATTGGACCAATATCTATCAAAGCACTGAATAATTAGTGCAGAGATGAGTTATTTGAACTGTTAATTCTGTATCTGCATCAGTCAATTTAGTCCCTTATGACCAAGATATGTTCGTGCATGTTCAGCTCTGTCGTTTTCTGCAGTGTGTTACTGTAATTGTTTGTTCTTTAAGGAGAACAAAACGCCTTAGGACCAGCAGAGGTATTGCTACAGTAATGGGCAAAGCTTTAATGGCTTCTCTTTATGGATCTTACACTGGGGACTTGGTGTCATAAGTCAAGGAAATGACTTTCCAGCATTTAAATATTCGAACCATTGGCAGCTTCTCTCTCTTGCTTTCTTTCCTTCTTGCCTTTTGTCTTCGGCCTTCCTCCTCTCATTCCTCTTTTCTTGTGTTTCCCCAGAGACATGCTATTTTCTTACAGAGAAGCGGCCATACTTTAAACTGCCTTTAACATCCAGCTGCTTATTTCACTTCATCTGCTGCATTATTAAAATAACTTCCCAGCCCCTAAATTATTTTTTCCATCTCTTTATCCCAGCAGAACTGATAATTGGTGTTATTTATCTAAACAAAGCCGCCGTGTGACTCTTAGGGAGGTAGCACGTGAATAATGGATGAGGACAAATTTGAGGAGTTTGCACTTACTCCAGCTTTGGTAGTATCCCTGTCAGTGTAGCCACACGTTGTATATTTGCATGCAGAAGAAAAAGAATAACACACATCCCACAGTGCTTCACTTCTTCATTGCCTCCCATGCTCATAATAAAGTGAGGGACGATATTAACCTGCCAGAAAGGAGAGACTGGATTAGATTTGTCACTTCCTCCTGTCCAATTCCAGTGTGGCTTGTGGTTCCATAATGAAAAGGCTCTCAGCGTCTCTGGGATGGTCTGAGGTGCAGGGCTGAAAACTAAGATTCAACAAAAAAAAAAGACATTTTACTCAATGAACTGATCGTTTGTTTCAGACCTCGGCACCTGAGGAATGAGGTTTGAAATGTGCCTCACACTCGTCTCAACTCCTGTATGATTACATTTTTGCACAAATATTCTTCTGAAAATATTTGCTCATGTGTCGCAGCGAGTTACAGCGTCACATCTCCACAGATCAGGATTAATCTTTGAAGATCTGCTGCGAGAACTAGATTTACTCTTACACTTAAACTCCGCTGATGCAAAGTAGGCGCTGTAACATGATGAATGATGATGAACATCAGCAGTGGATGTTATGAACATAAAGTACATCAGTTGTTGGACATAAACAAGACTTTTATTTGATGTATTAGTCATTGGTGTTGTGATCTAAGTGGTTCTCATTTGAAATGATGCAGTGTCTGTGTGGAACGTCTTCCTAATGCTCCGTGTCTCCTGTCTCTCTGTCAACCCCGCTGTTGTCTAGGTTCAACTGTGCAGCCATTCGCTGCCTTCTGGTTCACAGTGGAGCCACAGGATACGCTGGCTGTCCGGGGCAACATGGCGATGCTCAACTGCTCGGTCCACAGCGACGCAGCCACGCCTGTTCACATCGAGTGGAAAAAGGACGGCACCTTCCTGAGCCTGGTTTCAGACGACAGGCGACACATACTTCCTGATGGCACCCTGGTCTTCAGCCATGTGGTCCACGCCAAACACAATAAGCCTGATGAAGGCACCTATCAGTGTGTGGCCACCATCGAGAACCTCGGATCCATCTCAAGCCGCACAGCTCGCCTCACTGTAGCTGGTAGGTGTTTTCGTTTGTTGCTTTGTCCCAAAAAATATTGAAATAAAACTTACTCCAAATACAATATTTACTGTAAATACCCACTGCTGGTTTATCTGCAGAACAGGTTGTAGTGTTTCATGAGTTAGTCCTTTGTTGGCCAACAATGCTCTAAAGATGGATTTATATCACCTCCTAATGAAACAACTCACTGTGAACAGCACTAACGGGTGGACAGCTGAATAGGATAATGGAGCAGAACCACAACCATGTAAATATATCAGGATAATCCAGGATATTGGTGCATGGGGCTTGATGGACTTCTCAATTTTAATGAGTTAAAATTGTGAAATCTACAGACAAAAAGAAAACAAGAATGATTTTACATATGACTTAGAAATGCAACCGCAGATTGGACAGGCAACCACAGTGTATGTGTGGAGTGGCTGCACCATTCCGCTGTAATTGTTTGATGACTACAACCAGTGTAACCAGTACAACCTTGATGTACTACTGAAGGCCTTGATGGCATTCATCAAGGCCTTCAGTAGCACACCAAGGACTGTAGTATTAGACAGTTGAACTGGGAGACTTTATTAAAAAGAGAACAAATTGGAGAACATTCCTGTCCTTGTCCTACACAGCTGTAATCAGTGATACTAGCTGACCAATAGTATTTTTTCTGAAGGTGAAATTAATATTCTAGGTTTCTTGTCTTTTTCTAAAACTTTCACTTCATTGCTATGCCCAATGATTATTAATTCTCTGAAATGTCACAAAAATACTGTTAAAAACATAACCTAACCTCGTTCCTGAATGCAGCACACGTTTCTTCAATGCAAATAATAATTGCAGAAGATCAGATCAGTATTAACTGTCTGTACACTGAATGGAGGAGGAGATTAATGAAGGTCAATGTCACCAAACCAGTGGTAGAATTCCTTAAAACTACACCGTTGTAACATGTGGGTCTTTTCCTCTCAACACCTGGGCTGGCCCGGGTTACAGACGCAGTCAGTTGGCCCAGTGCTGCACCACTGAATTAAGTTACAGCATTGGTTATTACATCGGGCTGTTCCACTTTCAGAATTAATTGGCACCAACAGTTGTGTTATCTGAGCTGTTTTATCTGAGAACAGTGTGTCAGACAGACAACAAGTCTGGTTGGTTTTTGAATAAAGCCTTGAGACTACTCAAATAGTTCAGGGTAATTGAGAAGGCACACCTTTGTGGCTTTTTGTTGAGTTTTGGGAGTGAGGTGGAGCAGCAGTTTGTTTACCAGACGGAGGCTGTGCTCCGACAGACAGACAAAAGCTCAGCCTCTGCACCATTACTCTTTAAATCTGTGTGTATGTGTGTGTGTGTGGGGGGGGCTAATGTTATGTTGCAATCGGTTCAAACGTGTTCAAACAGACATGAGTGTGAAACTAATGAAATTACACAGATGCAGTGTTTATTGGTTTGCTGCAGAAGAACAGTTCTCACATATACTGTCAGGTCGACCTCCACTGAGCAGCTCATGGTCAGGGCCATACGTTACAGCTGTGACCCAGCCTTTGTTTGTCCTTGAGTTGTGCAGTCATTTGTACTTTTTCTTCTATAAATACCCAGAGCCCGACCAGCTCTGTATGCGTTGCCCTTTGGATAAATGCTTACAAGCATGTCTGTTACTATGCTATATATGTACATGCTGTATAAACTACTAGTACTACAATGTGACCTGGCCGTCTGGGAACAGCGAGCAGCGAGCAGGGATTGGCAGTTGTTGTGGGTCAGGCTGTGCCTCTGAAATTAAATTTTTACCTGGAAGAGTCACAGACTGCTCACTCACTGTTTGTTTTTCTGCTCAGTCAGATGTAAGACACCGTGGAGAGGCCTCTTGGTGACAATAGCAGAGTACAGTATTTTCCTCTGGGATACATCCAAGCGTCTGTCTGAAGCTCCTCTCTGCATGGAATTCCAGCCTCGCTAGTGTGCTTTTGCATGACAAAGTAAAGAAGCCAGGCAAACTCTCATTCTGAGCATTGTGCCTTTGCCAGTCATAATATTAGCGTTAGTGCATCCTCAACACTATTCTGAATTTAAAATATTAGTTTTACCAATCTTAGTAAAACATAAACAATGTTTTTTTTTTCAGGACAGAACTAAAAATCCTAGAATTTTGATAGAACACGTCTTCCTTTGACCTTTCTACCAAAGTTATAGTCTCACAATAAACAGAGAGTTTTTTAAATTAATCATCTGGTCAAATAAACTACATTTAAATATTAGCTTTAAAGCAACTGGTGAGCTGCTGTGGAGATCCCCGGAGCCATCAGTCAAAAGATGACAAGAAACAACAGTGAATAAATACAGTTTATTTTATTTTCTCCATTCAATGTTTTTTTGTTTTTAAAAACAGATTCTGTATGCTGGGCAGAGTTCTGTACGTTTCTACTGTAAGGTGCAGAGGTGACTTGTTAAGTTTCTCTGCCAGTATCAGTATATTCATCCAAGAGACCTCCTGACCAGAGGGATGTGACTGGGTCAGTCATTATCAGATGTCAGAGTGAACTAAAGGGTGGGGCGGGTTGAAGCTGTCGAAGACGTGGACACGCACACACCCGCAGGATTAGCACACATGAAAGCTTTGCCATTGTAAAGAAAAAAATACATGCATTTAGTGGTATCAGACACATCAATGTGCTGCATTCAGGGTCCCCCTCAAACACTCACACACACACACACATGCACCACCACTGATGTATCTCCAGCTGGCTGGCAGGTGGCCAATAAAAAGGTTAATTGCAGTGTAGGGGGAGCAGACCATTAGGCTGCCATCAGAGCCAGAGGAACGATGGTGCAGGCGGCTGTGGAGTGGGTGTGACCCCTCAGATGAAATGATGGAATGAGTCACGGGTGACTTGCGTGGCAGGGAGCTCATCTGACAAATAGCCAGGTAATATCAGGGATTGATTGTCACGAGACGTGAGGCTCATTCTTCTCAGAGAAACGCTGCCACTTTCCCTCGTCTGCAGCGTCCTCGCAGAGAACCAGCAGTTCACTGCACGGCTGCTCCTCTTTGAATCACCAGGTTTCTGCTCGATTTAACGGCGCGCGTTGATGTGCTGATGACAGGAGCCGTGAGAAGATCAACCTTCTCTGGTTTCTGCAGCTCCACAGTCCTTGTTGGTGTAAGTGCCTCAGGATACACAGGTCACAGAGAACAGAGACCTGTGAGCGTTAAATAAATGCTAAGTGTCAGTCCGTCATGTGTTAGTGCGGTTATTTTTATCATTCATGTCTTAAAGGAACAAACGTAACGACATGAACGATGTCAGCACTGCAACAGAAGTGTTTTTCTCACCATTGATCTGACACAAAGCTCATGGAATGCAGAGAATGTTAAGGATTGACGAGTGTTTTTCTTCTGATCTACGAACACGCTGTTTGAATGGTCAGTGGTATGGTATAACTGGTATGGTTTTTCTTAATGGAGTTGAGAAAGCAGTCTGGAAAAGCCTAGTTCCTCAGGACACAGCCTAATACTCTAGGTTGTATATGTAATTTCATGCTCTGCAGTCCAAAGTCTATATATATACTTTTTATTTTAGCAATAGTCCTAAACATGTGTTTGAATTTTGAACCGTCGTTCTGCACACTGACTGGATTTTTATATGCATCTGCCCACACAAACCCAAGTCTCTAGCTGATGTATTTTTGTTTACTCTTGCTCTGTCATCCATTCTCTTTCAATCTCTGTGTGCTCAGTCCAACGCTGTGGAAACACAAACAGACTGAGGAAAGGAGAGTTGGGAAGGATGGGGGAGGAGTGGCCTTGTAAGGCCAGTCTAATGTATTCAGGTTGTTCTTTTCAGGAGAAAAGGTAGGGTGGAGAAATTATAGGGCAAAGAATGAGCTGTAGACAGCAGTGATAGCCAGGAGGCGGAGCCAGGTAGGAGAAATGAGAAATCCCATTTTAAATGCCTGCTACTCTACAGCGCAGGGTTCCCTCCACCCATCTGTGCACTTTCATCTCCTTTAAGAATCGCTTAAGGTGAACGCCACCTCATCAACTCTCTGCAGGGAAACCTCCTTGAGAAAAATGGCAAATTAATGTTACCGTTCTTCTTCTTGTCCACAAAGACCCTTTATTTACTTTTAAGTATTTTATCCCCTGGGTTTTTTTATGCAAGGATGAGACGCTGCTGTATTCAATGAGTTGTTGTTTTTTACCGTTTTTATCTGCTTTTATTTTCACCTGCACGGATCACATGACCAGGCATCATAAAAATGGGTCATTCATTTAGGAGATTATTGTTGTAAATGAATGTCCAGCAGTTCCAATAACTGCTGGACTGCATTCATGAAGCATCGATGTATTTTTTTTTTTTTTAAATATCCTATCACATGTACATCAGTTTTGTAGCCATGGATTTAAGGTTTAGTTGTAAACATGTTGTCCAAAAGGCCAGGATACAGATACTGGATACAGAGGTTTTTGTTCATAATTTCGTCTATCTTGGTACTTACCCCAATGCACAAAACTGAGCAGTACCACTAGAAACCATGGGGGCGCTGATGCACAGTATAGCTCATGTGCCCCCATGAAAGGATCAACAACAAGAAGAAGAAAATAGAAATGGTGGAATCAGGCAGAATTCTCTGGCCACATGCAGCTGTACGTAATGACTGCTCAAACCAGCGCCCTCTTCTGCCTGTGTTTGGACGACTCTCTGAGCAGGAACATTATCAAAGCCACCTTCACCTCAAACCTGTTTGTTATTACCAGAAACTGACACAGTCCAGATATGAACTTTGAACTACCACCAGATGGATGGATTGCTTAACAATTCCAAACATAAGGCACGCATTACGTATTTATGTACAAATGGGCAACATAAATGAGGCTTAGAGGTTACTGGTTCAGACCCAACATAAAAAGGAACTCCACAGGAGTGAGGCAGGAAACACAAATCACAGCTTTCTTGGAGATAGATTAGATCAGTGTAGAAATTTTAAATTAAATTCTTGGTGATTAA